GCACACGGCCAGGACAGCTGTACAAAGCAACCCTAGAACACTTTGAGGTGTAATTATTTCTCTGCAACAAGGTGGTCTGTGAACGAGCCTCAGCTAAAAAGGTTATTGTAGCAGAGAGTGCTGAAATATTAATTTTGAGCGTTTTATTTATCCATACGGCACAAAGTTATGGGATAAATTTGTAGGTAGTTTCAAACTCGTATATTTTTCTTTATGTGGGCTAGTGGGAGACACATCTCAAAGAGTTTAGTGCCTGGAAATGTTGCTTTCATGAGCAACAAGTTTTGTTTTATGGAGAGAGTATGTCTAATAATAAATTAAGTGGTCTTTCTGGTTTGGATAGTTAGAAACTAAGACCAGGACTGGGGTGTACCTCGGTGGCAAAACATGAGTCCCTGGTTTCAGTCCCTAGCAGCATCAGCACTGCTGTAACAGTGGAAATCTAAACCAGCTGGGATCCCTCTCTGCAGTTGCAGGCAGTCTCTCTGGTAGCTGAGCTTTCCTCTGGCCTTTCTTTCATCTTTACTGGGATGTCTCTGACTTCACTTTTATGGCTAGTTGCATGAATTCTTGCAGGCTGTGGTAGTGGGACACAGGAGGGTGTTTAGAGTTGTACCTTCCTTACAGGGGCATGGAGCTGATGCCCCCTGGGTCCCAGTCCTGTTCTCTGTGCACAACAGTGACCAGACACAAGGAACTGCGTCGGTCAATGTCTGATGTAGTGTTTCCTGGCTGTTTAGAGGGGAGAGTATTTTTGGGCTCTTTGTACAGGCAGTGTTGCTGTTCTGGTGGCTGATTGATTGACTGATGACAGTCCAGCTGTAAAGACCATCATCCTGACACATTTAATATTACATTGGGTCCACTGGGGGCTGGCTGGAGTTTGAGTAACACTTTGTTAAAAGGAAAAAGCTATCTCTTGGTAGCGCGGCCTTAGAAGTTTATTGAAACAAGAAAGCAGGTGGTCCTATTGGAGTAAAGATCAAGACACCTGCATAGAATTCCCCCAGGTCTAATCTACTCCTTTTATGGGCCATGAGGTACCTACTACATTTAACATCTGCCAGGTGTGGGACTTGGTATCTATTTCCACTGGAGAGAAAAGGAAAACATGGAAAATGTTCCAGAAGATGCCTGTTTTGTTTAGTCTTCACTACAACCTTAAAAGATAATCAGTTTTAATAGGTTTATTTGTAATTTGGAGATAATAAAACCCCAGAGCATTGAAGCAATGTTCCCCAGGTCATACTCAAACTGGGATTAGGAATGGGAGAAGTAAGATCCCAGATGGGAATGCCAGTCTCCTAGTAGTATTTACCGGGACACTTGCCTTTCTACCAGCAGGACAAGATCAGCAACTACAGTTCCCCAGCTCACTGAGGCTGTGAATAAAGAGGATAATCACAGAACTGCAGACAGGAGGAGTGCCTCTGTAGTCCTGTCTGGTGATGTAGTTTGTATACTAGGAAGGCAACAAATCTCTTTGAATCCTGGGAGGTTTGTCAGCCTCCATGGGGTCTTGGAGGTGGCTTGTGTATTGATTGATTGGAGCTGCCCGAGTGGTGTGTGGTGGTCAAAAGGCAAGGTACTAACAGACCACAGTACCCCTAGTGCAGCCAGAGGGCAGCCTATCTAGACAAGGGACAAAGCAGCAACCACAACCCATCAAAAACTTATCCGTGGTTGATCACTGAGGAAATGGCCTTGTGCTGTGTTGTCACCTTCTGACTGGGGTTAGGGAGCCATCAATCCAGACACTAGATAGGATGTGACTCTTTCTGATTTGGTATGAATAATTCAGGAGCTCAGGGCATTATTCATTGTCAAAATTCATAGTGTATGAAAAGCCTATAGTTTTATTTTCTAAAAATATAGCCCAGATATCTCCATTCCTCTGAGAAAATACAGGGCTTAACTATTCTCATTGACCTTGGCCTCTCTGAATCCTCAGTGGCCACTGCGGAGAAGAGAGAGCCAGTGTCATCCATTCTGGATTAGAGCAGTTTCTGCAAGTCATAGAGGGCACCTTGATGCTTCGGTGGTCCTGAGTAACCACACGGGTTGGGGTGAGACAAACCTCTGTGTGTCGGGGGGACAGGGCCTAGGTAAACAACGCTAGCCATGTGTTTACAGATATGCAAATAAGCTTGCAAATTAGACTCCTGTCAGCTTCATTTAGAAAGTAATTTAAAATTAATTAAAAATTAAGAGGTAAATTAGAAGCTAACATTGAACACCATATGGGAAAACATACATATTTATCAGAATGGCATGTATGTATACTGCAGGGGCGGGAGCTAACTGTGATGTGCACAAACTGCTTCCATCCTGATCCTGCGTAAAACCAATGTGGGGAAATCTAGTCTGTTGCAAGGATTTTTTTTTAGCACTCTGTCAATTATAATTCATTCCCTAACTACGGATTAAACCTATACATTTCATGTGCAGTAAATTCCCTGTGAACTTATACCAAAGGACATAGAGTTTTACAACTGAAAAGTAAAATGATAAAGCAGGTACAGTTTACCTCCATATGCTGTGAAATATTTGTAAAACTCATTTTTCTCCAGTGGGGTCACTGAGCACATTCACCCTGGCAGGCCTTTTGCATACTGTTAATATGCGATCTATACTTGGGAAGTAATGATTTCCCTCCCTCAGCCTCTGAGCAGTTCTAGGTGATTAATGAGTTAATGGCTGTATCCACACAAGGCCAAAACAACTCACTGAAAAGTGAAAAATTCAATCACTCCACTGACTGTTTTGTCTACAAAACAACCAAACAACCTCTGTGATTGATTTTCTTTTCACTGAATTGATTGCTATTTTTTGGCAACTTCATTGAATTAACCAGTTGTTTGATACAACCAGAATGTGGACTGACTTCTTTTGATAATATAGTGAGGCATTTCTTTTTTAAAACATGCATTTATAATGGACCAAAATATGTTTCTATGCTAATCTTTTTCCTACCCCCAATGTGAACACACACACACACACACACACACACACACACACATATATATGTCTTCACAAACAGTGCCTGGGTAAGAAAGTTTGAATATTCCATACTTTGGTTATCTTGGATAAAATATTTAATTTTATCTAAAGTGACAGTAAATATAAAATAATGACAAATAATGCAAAGGATAATTTCTCCCTCCCTCCCTCCTCTCTTCCTTCTTTCTTCTTTTTGAAAAATTCAGGTAATATGGAGTCTTAAATAAACCAAAAAATAACTACAGAGTAGGCATGTTATAGAGGAGGGAGGAAAACTAACAATGTTGACAAAAAATAACAACTGAACTCCCACAAAGACTGAGAGACATTTCAGAAGACAGCTTGTCTAATGAGCACATCAGGAATTTGGAAGCACGTTCTGAGAGTTAGAGTGGTCAGTGTCGAATTTGGGAAACAGGTGTGGGAAATAAAAACATGGCGATTCTAGGAAAACAACTGTTCTTGGCTGACCTTCAGATGTGCATGGTCCTAATGCTACCGAACATTCTGAATTAAAAGTTACTTGTGTTTATTTCTGTTACTCCTTTATTTTTAAAACTGTTGCCATGCTTTGGCTAATGTGATGAATATTATTTTTTAAATGTGGGAGTGGAGAACAGGTTAAGTGACACTTGTTAAAGAGTAATTAACATTTTGAAAGAAAAACAAGCTATATTGTTGGCTGCTTTGCTTTTTAAGCATCCTAATTTGAAGGTGCAGCAGGTGTGCAAAGAGGAAAGGCAATTTCTCATTATTTTCCTTAATTGGATGCAAAAAATCATGTTAAAAAGTGTAGAAATTTGTGGAAACAAATGGCATCATAGAATAGAAATGAGCTTTGGTGACCCTTTACTCCACCCCACCCTTCTAACTCACAGACAAGCCTGCAAGCCTGCCAACGTCGGAAGGGAGAAAGGGTGCACCGATGTTCCAGAACTCCTGGGAGTTGGAGGCAGGTGATGTTTCCAAATTTTCTGACCCTCAGGCCAGAAGACAGTCCCTGTGCATATGTCAGAGGTGAATAGGCAAGGTAAAAGTTGTAAAGTTCAGAAGGAAAGGTATGAATTTATTTCGAGAGTCACATTAGAATGGAGATTACAGTAGACAGGGGGTTTCATGCCGGGATGTAGGGATGTTGGGGTCAGTTGCAGGTACTGTTTGAAGAGGCTGTCCAGGAGCTGGAGAGCAGGGGCTTTGGCAGAAGCTTTCCCAGCTGATCTGGGGAGAAGGAGCACAGGGAATAGAGGGGAAGGATGAGTGAGATGACTCTCTGAGTTTGGAATTTGCATTGGTGTTGCAGACAGTCTTGAAGTAGTACAAGAGGATTTCCATATTTCTATTTCTCGAGGAAAAAGAATTATAAAGGAAATTAAAAAAAAAATCTAGTGCTACAAGGGCTGTTGTGCTGAAGCTAAAAGTGGAGGAGAGACAGATCCCACTCTGGTGAAGCCAGGTGATGGCGGGAAAGCCTCAACAGGTCCTTTATGGTGGAGTTTAGGCTAGAGGGAAAGTGAAACATCAGGTGTGCCTCGGACTCAAACGCATTTTCATGAAGTGTCAGTGTGACTCTGATGCCATTCCAGGAAAAGTGACAGATTATCACTAGGCATTGCCGTTCTGTAGTGGCAGGATGCATTCATATTCAGCAGAGGGGACTAAAGTGTCTGCCTGCCATCCAGCTGAACCAAACACAAACAATGCAAGGCAGGTGTGGTTCGTTGGAAGGAATAGCTGTTTTAAGCAGATAATTCAGCTGTGGCCCACAGGCATGCAGAGGTCTTGAAGCCCCAAGGTTTCACAGGAACAAGACCCGGCTTAGATAAAGATAAGGCGAGCAGTCAAAGTTGGTGAAGGTAGGCTGGGGAGGCATCTAAGGACGGGGCCTGCTTTGGCAGTACAGTTTAGCTTTCTGTTCCCAAGGCAGCAGGAAGGGGTAGGAAAGCAGATAAAGAAGTGGGGTGGCCATCTGAGTGTTTCTTCCTTTGTTTTTTTGTTTGCAGTATTGTGGATAGAATTCAAGGCCTTGGGACTTGCTAAATTGCTCACGCTGGACTGCAAGCTAAGATCCTCCTGCCCCAACTTTCCAGAGTGCTGAGATTCCAGATGTGCGCCACTGCTCCCAAGTCCCTACTTTGCCTTCTGCCTGGGAGTAGGAAGGCACGTGAGACACCTGGTAAGGACAATTAGGTTTGTTCTGAGACCCCGGGAGGGCCTGGCATTCCCCAGCATGGATGGCTGCGTAGAGCTAAGAGACTCCTCTGGGAGTCAACTGCTCAGGGGAGGGGAGGATGGAGCAGGGGCTCCTGAGGACTCTGGGTTCTTGTGCTCAGCCAGTGGGTCTGATGGAGCTGCGGGACCCTGAGCGCTTCTTCCTCCTGCACCCCAAGCTCACTGTACCTCATGCTCACAGCTCCCACAATGAGTGAAGCAGGGAGAGGGGAAGGCTGCTTGAAAGACAGAGCAATTTTATTCAGGGGAGACTGAGTATTCCCTAAAGGGGCTGTTTAAATTATTGGATCAAACGAAATTCAAACTAGGTTAGACACTTAGTTAATTTATTTTTTCTCTAACCAGCAGGTGGAAGTTCAGAGGAAGATGAGATTATAGACAAAATAAAGGTGCTACATTTTCCCTGATGAAAAGTCTCTTTACATTCCCATATCCGGTGGTTTTCCAGGAGGTTTAGAAATGCTCTGTAAGAATAATCTTAAAATTGATCTGATGGATTAAAGGTGGGGAAACAAGTCCTGGGAAGTTAACGGGAATCTGTCTGTGTCTGTACTGACAACGTAACGTGACTCCATCTAGTTTCTTTTAAAAACCAATAAAAAAGGCAGTTGAATTCAGCCAGGAAATTATTTTATTGTTCAATAAGCCTTAATATTTGGATTGATTGAATTTCCTTTGGCCTTTATTTTGGTGTTTGTGTTCATAGTCTCAAGAGAGTGAAATTTGTCTCACAGAAACTATATATTGTCTAATAGAATCCTATTTAAAACACTGTTTTCTTTGGGAATATTCAAGGTAATGCTTGCGCACGGGATACCTTGGGATGGAAGTAAGTATAGTCTTACTCCACACATGTGACAGTGCCCTTAGAGAGGCCTTGGGGGCAGAGGGGTGTGAAGGAGTTTGAGGAGCCTGCAGAAGTCCGGGAGGATAACTCAGGCTGGGGAGCAGGAGGGCTGCACAACGAGTAGCCTTACAGCTGGGCTTTGATCATCATGGGTGGAGATCTTTCATGGGAAAAGCATTTGAGCTGAATAAGTGTAGATAGGATTGCAATGAGCACCCACCTTGTGGGCTTATTGTGCATCCAGCGTTCTGAGGTACAGGGGCTGTGGGACGGGCGCATAATGGAGGGGTGAGGGGGACCAAAGGGCAGACAGCAAAAATGTTAAGAAGGGAGATTGAAGGCAAGGGATGGCGGGACCCAAATGCCTCGTGATTGGATGGCATGTGTGTTTCGGGAGGTTTAAAAAGGTCAGCAGAGCTCTCCTCGTCTGACTGCCTTAGCTTGGGAAATGCCAGTGTCTCTAAGACAGGGCCAATGTAAGGATTCAGAGCTTGTGATGTTTTCCTTGGTACCGGTTGTGTGGAAATGGGATCTTCAGGTCTGTGCTGCTCATAGGACAGTTTTGCTGGGCTGTCTTGCATCAGGCTGACTGGGTCTCTTAGAAGTTAATTCTGCTGAAGAGATGTGTATGAGTTACCACTCAGCAACCAGGAGTGGCAGGCACTGACCAGAGGACAAAACAAACAAACAAACAAAACCAAACCCAAGAAGACTCAGTAAAGAGAAAATGCAGTTGCTCGCCGCCCAGATGGAGTAGAGAAGGGAGGTAATACAATCTCAAAATAGCCACAGTCCCCGCTTTATCTATGAGGCTCAAGCTCTCCAGTGTACGTTGTGCATTCTCTCCGGAGACTGGTATTTTTAATTTGTTATTTGAGTGTAACACCTGTGTTGGTTCATTCTTACACAAATTCCTCTGGTAATTAGTTTCATAGAATATTGCCAGGTTGGCACACTTCCCTTGCTCCCATCACTCTTGGGGATAGCGGAACTAGAAGACAGGTACTCTTATCACAGTTATATTAATAAATTTAATTAACATAAAACAACATGAATTCAGCTGCTGGCACCTGAGGCTAGAGAGCATTCCTTCCCCTCACAGTGCTGAGCTGTGAGTGTCTGACAGCAAGCATTTGTTTTCTTTTTTAGAGCCAGCTTTATTGAGGTCTAATATACATAGATTGAATTCCCCTCTTTAGGAGTACAGCTCCATGAGCTTTGACAAACGTATCCAGTTGTGTAACCATCTCGATTAGATGGTTATTTCCATTATCCCCCAAATTCCCTCATGGCCCTTTGTAGTCAGTGTGCTCCCCTCACTGAGGGGCAACCTCGGTTGTTGTCATCATAAGGTCCTTTGAATGAAACCACACAGTACGAAGCCTTCTGAGCATGACTTTGCCCACTCTACTCAATCCGCTCTCCAGATTCTGTTGGATGCATGGTGCAGTTGCTTTTGTCTCTGCCTCGTTTTCTGAGGTGCGCATGTGCTTAGAATGGTTTGTCCCCTCCCTTTGGGGTGTTCCCAGTACCTGGTGATTGTGAGGAAAGTTGGTCTGAAAGCCCACCTGCAGAATTGTATGCAGACATACACGCTCATTTCTCCTAACTCAGGGATGCAGATGGCTGGGTCATCCAGGTAAGTGTATGCTCACCTTTATGAGGTAAAAACGTCCAAGCTCCTTTGGGAAGTGGCTTTACCATTGTGCGCTTCCCCTAGCAGTGTACAAGAGGCCCAGCTGGTCTACTTTCCTCTTTGTGTTTTCAATGTAATTAAAAAAGTGTTCTTATAGGGGCTTAGTGGCATTGCATGATGGATTTAATTTGTGTTTCCTTAATTAATAAGGATACTGGACATATTTGCACTTGCTTATTTACTATATGTATTTTTTTTCTCTGCAGAGATTCTGTGTCACTGGTAAAACTACAGCCATATAGATGAACAGAACAGAAAAAAGTCTAGAAAGAGCCGCATAGACATGGGCAACTGATTTCCAACAAAGGTGGCGTGGTACTTCAATGGGGAAAGGATAGCTTTTTTCAAGAAATGACACTGAGCAGTTCTACATCAATATGCTAAAATAAACAATAAAAGCCCAGAACAAACAAACACAAAGATTGCGGGAGCTGAGCTCAGGGTCATCCTGAAATCATATACAAAAATGTAATCCTGGGACCTAGACGTAAAACCAAAAGATATACAAGTTTGAGAAGAAAGCATTTTTTTTGATAGAGGATTAAACAAAGTATTCTTAGATAGGACATAGCAATCATGGATCATAAATGAGAAAAGTTGTTGAGATGGGCATCCACAAACTTCGCGATTTCTGCCCCCCCCCCGAAAGACACTATTGAGGACATGTAAAGAGACAGGCTGCAGACAAGAAAATACATTTGCAAAGTATGCATCTGATAAAAGGCTTACATATAGAACACACAAAGCCCCTTTATAACTCAACAGTGGCAGCAACAACAACAAAACAATGTCAAAGGCCTGGTGAAAAATGGCCGAGCGATTTGAGCAGACGCTCCGCCCGTCACCCTTTGAAAGTTAGCGATGTGACACATTACCTTTCAGGCTTCCTCAAGTCAAGTGCATCCATTCTCAGCCCCTCTCTGCTCCCTGGGATCTGCTCACCACCTGTGATACTGCTGTCCACCTCCTGGGACACTGGCCAGTCCTCAGGCTGCAGAGCATCCCGTGGCCTCTGCACCTCCATACACTACTTTCCCAGACAGCACATTGCTTTTCCCCTGCATGCACCAGCCTCGTTCTTTACTCTCCTGTTTTATCTTTTTTTCCCCTTAACAGAAAGAACATCAATTTTTGTCCTACATTTATTGTTCTCCATAAGAGATCATTCTTATACTGTGAAATGTTTCATTACAGTCAAAGGGTAGAGCTTCAGCTTTGGGGATGAGGGTAAGAGATAAGGGAAGGCTTTTAAAATATCTCCTGTTATGTGGTTGCATCCAGGACAAAGGTGTCTGGAATGGGACTCTTAATACTGAGTGTCTCCGATGAGGATACCTATTTAGGTTGTGTGTTCTTTTGTGAGTCCAAAGGAAGAGCAAGCGAAGAACTGGCAAAGACCAATTGCTGTGAAGGACTTCTTGCTACAGCTCAGAGTGGCAGCCCCTCCCCAAGGTCCATGCTGGCCTTTTGTGGGTGCAGCTTCCAGAGCTGGCTGGGCCACACCCCTGTCCCTCCACCGAGAGCTGCTTCACGAAGCTGCCTGCTTTCCATGTGACTGTTCTGTGGGAGGAGAGCACTGGTTTACACCTCTGGCAGAAGCCACTGCTAAGACCACTGGGCCCAGAATTTTGGTCAGAAACCGAGTTGGTGCCTCAACATTTGCTTAAAGTGCAATTGGCTGGAGCTGTGACCTTTTCCCCTAGCTCAGGACAAAAGCCACGAAAAGACCTGCGAGGCTTGGCTGAATCATGTTATGGGCTGGCTGAGAACAGTAGAGGCCTTAGCTACCTGCATTCACACATGTTAGAGGTGGGTGAGGAAGAGCAGAGTTGTGAGGTGTTCAGACAAAGATGCAGCCCCACAGCTCCAGCTCCTCGAGTGCACCTCTGTAGCCGATGTGCTCATCCACGGAGAGTGGCTCGTGTGGTTATGGATCCCCCTCACCCCTGCCCAGAATTAGAAATGTCCCAGAGATCCAGCTGGCTGTCACTGCTGTCCATTATGGTGACCCTTTGTTCTATGGTTAATTGCTGATTGCTTTTAGTACTGAATTTCAGACAGGTGTGTGTGTGAGAAATGCTTTCATAAGGAAACTTTATTGTTAGGGAATTTGGGGATTAATCCTTCAGCTGCAGAACATGTATTCTAAACTCTTTGAACTGAGGATCTTTTTGTAAAAAATCAAAACTTTCCTTTGATATTCTGCTAATAATAGGATCTCTGATATCCATTGATTAAGAGAGTACACATGGGAAGGGTAGGGGAAAGGAAATAAGGGAAAAGAAAGATACAAGAAAATGAAAAAATTAAAGTTTTTGTAAATGGGGAAGGGAGGAGGGGTTGAAGGGAGGGCAGGGGTAAGGGGAAAAATGAGAACCAAGACCTGCCATGTAAAGGTACAAGATCCCAATAATGAATGTAACCGTACTTATTGTACATCTAAAATGTACCAACAAACTCAATGAGAAAACTAAATACAGAAAGCTATCATGATCTCGCTATGTTGGGAAATGGTTTGAAAAAATTGTAGCAGCAGTTAGAAATGTACCGAGGGTCCATTCCATATGTCAGGCAGGACTCTAGATGCCCCGCCCCAAAGCCGGCTTGAGGAAATGAATGTTCCGGAGTGACATACTTTATTTTGTTCTTTCCTTTGCCCCATTAATTTCTTCTGGAGAACTTACACTGCTGGTTGAGAAATAAAGGTCGTGGATCATGACATGTCTTGGTTGGAAGGAATCACAGGCATCTTTTAGTCTAGGCACCTCATTTTATGGATGAAGAAACTGAGTCCACCCAAGGGATGTATTTCTCCCGATTTCAGGCAGATAATCTTGTGATGGAGCTAGGAGCACCCTCATGATTCTTGATTGCCACTTTCATATTTTTCTTCCATAGCCACATGAAAAAAATAGCTGTTTGTCTCCCTAGTCCTAAAATGCCCTAGATTGTGCCACAATTTCGGCGTCAGTCTATTGCATCTATTTTATTTTTATTACGAGTATAATGCGCACGTTCATCTTGGGAGGTTGATACATCTGCATATCACATCATAATCTTTTGTAGCTCCCGTTTACCTCCTCCAGTGTCTCCCATCTCTAGATTCCCTGTCCATCTCCACAAAGTTAATGCAACTGTTTTAAAACTTCCGTACTCTACCAGGTGGCTGTGACAAAAAAAATTTTTCTTCACTGTTAAAACTTGTTCATCAAGTTTAGTTTGTTGGATATCATATTTTCTTTTTTTTTTTAAATGAATTTATTGGTACATTCTGGGTAGACAGTACAGTTACACTCATCACTGGGATCCTGTACCTTTACATGACAGGTCTTGGTTCTCATTTTTCCCCTTACCCCTGCCCTCCCTTCAACCCCTCCTCCCTTCCCCATTTACAAACACTTTAATTCCATTTTTACATTTTCTCATACTTTTCCCCCTATATCATATTTTCTTTTATTTTTTAAATTTTTAAAATAATATTTTAAATAAAGCTTTGGTCATATGAAGAGGCAGCTAGGCTGACCAGCATAAACAAGGCTCTCTCCGGGCTCTTTGTTTCTTTTGCAAAGTGCTGCTGCCTTGGGGAATATTGGTCAAGGTCAAGACTGCCGGAGGCGTCTACCGAAAACAGATGTGGCTTCTTCTCTGTTCTCCGTCCCGCCTGCAGCCTGCCGTAGTCTGAAGCAGCAGTTGCCGTTCCCACAGTGCCCTGAGGAGGGCAGCATTTCCTTTCCTGTGTTTTACAGATGCCGGAGAGAGCCCTAACCTTTGCCTGGAGTGGAATGGGCTGGCTTGTCACCCAAGTGCAAATGTCATTTTAGCACTTTGCTGGTCACCCTTTCTGGCCTTTATAGGAAATGACATATTCCTGTGTTCTTTGTATCCAACACATGCTTCAGAAAGGCAAGGGCAGGTTCTTATGTTCTAAAAGGTTGGAGAGAAAATGCAGAGACCTGTGGGCCAAATACTAGGGAGCACAGAGAACACAAATCAGGTTACAGTGTCACCTCGGTCTTGTGGAAAGTGGAGAAAAGAAAGGGTTGGCTTTGTATCCTGTCGTTATTAACAAGCTTTTCTCTTCTCTGGGCCATAGGGATATGGGAACAAGATTGGCCCTCTCCCAGCCCCACGGGCTCCCTTCCGTCTGCCTCACTCAGGCCCTTTTGCTCCCTGTCCCTCTCCCCCTCCATGCCCTCTTTTCAGCCCTGCCTGTGCCCCTAGACTTAGGTCTCTTTATCAGTCCCTGGAGCTGTTCTTGGCATGGCCACAGCAGCCCAGAGGTATTGCTGAAAGCGCGTCCAAATTACTACCAACAGCAGGTGCCAGGGAGGCATCGATCCGGCCGCATGTGACAGCTTAGGGAAGGAAGTTGAGAGCAATTTTATGGCCTATTACAGCGTTGCTTTCTCACAAGGATAAAACTCTGACAAGTGGCTCCAGCCTACCTGGGTTTCTGAAATGCTGAAACTTGCTTTTAATTACAACAATTACTGCTCCCAGCCAGACCTCACTCACAGTGGCCAGAGATACAGGAGCATTCCTTATGAGCAGGCTTTTCTTCTCAGCATTTTCTCTTATTCTCATCATACAAGATATTATGTTTTAGATGTAAAATGTTCCCCCAAAGTCTCGTGTGTTCAGAGGTGGGGCTCTTGAAGGGTAATTGGTTGTAGGGACACAGTACTGACCAGCGGATTTGTTCATTGACGAATTCATAGCTGATTGTGCTGTTAGGAGACAGGACCTGGTTGAAAGAGGTGCTGAACTGGGGATGTGAGTTAAATGGTGTGTTCTGGCCCATGGCTCCTCTCTTATCTTTCTCTGCTTCCTGACTGCCACATGGTGAGCCACTTTTGTCTGAAACATGGACTGAATCCATTGTAGCCATAAACAAAAATGAACTTTTCCTTCTTTAAGTGGTAGGTGCCAGGAATTTTTTTCCAGGGATGGGAGATTAACTGAGAAACAAGATTTCCAACATCAGGCCTGGGCAATAAATATTGTTACTAAACGCTAATACAGCACATCTGAAGCAACCCTTACCTTCACGATATACCTGTGTTACCTTACTCAATTCTCTCTCTCAAAACTCCTTTGAGAGAGGTCATATTATAAACCTCATTTTTTCAGGCCAAGAAACTGAGACAGAGATTAACTGCCTTGCTCAGTGGTTCATATGACCAAGCTGAACTTGGAGCCCAGACAGCAGGGTTCTTCTCCTTGCCTCTCAGCAGAGCGCTGTGTTATTTCCAGAGACAAATGTGAGCAGAAACAGAAACGCCTGCCTGCAAGAAAGTATAAGAACACGCCGCTGTCTCAGTTGCTCTGAGACAGTCTGCCTCGGGAAGCAAAATGGATTAAATGCTACAGATGGCAGTGAGCACCCCCATTATCAGCG